CTCAGTGGACTCCTGCAAAGAACAGGGTAACTGTTGGCCTAGTTAAATTTAATCTGTATGAATACTGAGTTGTCTATGAGTTAGTACTCTGGATTTTGTCTTGAAGGTTGAAATATCCAACAACTTACCTGACAATTTTAAAATGTATTGTCTTTGATTGCAATTTTAAGTTTAATTAAATTTATTAATCTATCACCTATGAATTTAATTCTGTATAAGCAGTGAGTATTTATGGATAATAACTGCTGATTTCTGGCACACTTAAAGTAACATTTTAGGTTACAAGTGTAGAAATGTTTTGGTTATAAAAATGTGGGGCTCTCAGCTGAAGCCCTTTCTGAAAGGAGGAACAAAAACCAAAACCAAACCCTTACACCACGATTTCACAATTTTTGTCTCCTAGGAGAGAAATGATCTCACAACTTCTGGTTTAGATTGGTCTATTGACCCTAGGTATGCTATGTATTGAAATACCTTAGATGAGGATGCTAGAGATCTTGCAACTGAGCTCACCACTGATGATAATTTTTCTCAGATAAGAGCACAAGAGCATCAAAATTCCTTAGATGATGTAATGGTTAATTAAGTCATTGAACTGAATTCAGGTAATTGAATTAGCAATGTATTCTCCACCATTCTGGGGAATTCTCCCAGTTGCAGAGCAAGCAAGGGTGGACAACTCATAATCAAGCAGATGTTTCTGACTGAGAAACAGGTGAATGGCACCCTCAAGGACTTAGGGTTAATTAAATTTTTCCCTGCAGAGTGCAATGGGTTGTTAACCACAGTGGTGAAGATACATAGTAGGGGAAATATGGTTTAGTATAAAGAGAAATAAAACCTGAGTTTATGCAAAAGGATAAGGTGAGAATAAGTAAGAGGGAATGAAATATGTCTGGAGTATAAGTTGAAGATAATTATGAAAATGAGAAAAAACAAAAATAAAGGGTCTGAAGGAAACAAAATAGGAAAGGCAGCTCCAAAGGAAATACACTGGGATAGGAAAATGAATATGAAAAATTATTACATTAATAGATAAGAATCCTAAGAAGTTGCCAGTTCGTAAGTTCTCTAAGAATGGAAAAAAAGCTGAGAATACATTGGTATATGAGCAGTTAAATCATTGGTCAGACCTCCAGTTGGTATAGCTAGGAACTGTGAACCTGGAAAAATGACCAATCCATAGCAGCATGTGTTTAAAAGTAGGAAAAATGGTATAAAGTGTGGTGAGATGACTTGGAACAAGACACAGTGGACATATGTAATCATGCTGCCAAATCAGCCAAACTAGGCTTTCAACTAGTGTTCCCCCCCCCCCCCCCCAATTTTCCAAATCTAAAGGCATAGTAACAGCTACAGTGTAAACTTCATCTAATAAAAATGTTAGAAGCAGTTGTCCCAGGAGACTTTAATAGAGAAGATATTCTGTATTGAATATTTATTTAATTATAAATAAGCTTGGATTGTTGTCAACTACCAGGAATTTCAAACAGCTAGGAAGATACATAAAAGAAAATGTTTTCAAAAAAAGAAAAAGGTTTACATATCCATATGATCTTTGAAAACACAGCAATCTTATGTCCTTAGAGAAGAGGAAATCAAGTGTTGAACAATATGAAAGAGAAATCATATTTGATTTCTGCTGAAGTTCTGACATTTTGCATAATATGACCCCCATCCACTAATGTGTGTCCTTGGGCCATCCTAACCCTTAGAGCGTATCACTGTTGAAGATGACACACTGCAGCAGAAGTTTCTGTGGTGAGGATCTGAGGCACTTCAGGAATGATTATGGGACTGAACATGGCTTCTTCAGTAAGCAGATAATTACTTTGTTCAAATAATTCTACTGTGAATGAAATAATTGACTGTTTCTAGAAATGACATGATCAGAGACTTCATTATCTTCTATAGAAAAACTACCTATACCTCAGAAGATAGGGAGGATGAAGTCCCTTCCTCCTTGTTCGTTTGTGAACTGTAAGATTTCTACTGCCTTAGAAAGACTCAGGGACATATAGTCAAGGTTGACTGTGGAAGCCTCTGAGTATTGTGGAGAGAAATCCTGACCAGCACTGCTTTACATGACAGCTGATCCTTAGTTGGGGGTTGCTGCCTCTTTATGCTGTTCAGGGCTTGTATGCAAGGGCCCACCTTTGGGATGCTACTTCACCTTGAACTATCAGAATTGGACAATCGGGATAAAAAAAGGTTATTAGAGGAAGACCCATGCTTCCTTTCAAAGTATTTATGCTTAGAGTGGCCCTGGAGTCTTAGAATGTGTGTATGTGTACACATGTGCCTATGGTAAACAAGAGCAAAAGCAACTTGCTGTTTAACTTATATCTGAAGTGTCAGCTTCCTTAAACTTTCCTTGCAACAAGGAACTTCCCTCTACTAGAAACTTTCCTGTGCTTGATCCTATCTAAGATATAGAGGTGATAGAGAAGAGTTCCTAGGAGAGCCCTCCCCACATGTTTCTTTCCTTATTACATGTCTGTACTGCCTGGTAACCAAAGCCCTGGATGGTTCATAATAATTAAAACTACAGAACACAAGCCCTCCATCTACCCAGTTCTGCCTTGTGCTGCTGTTGCCAAGCCTTGCACTGGATGTCCTGCAGACTCACTGCTTTTCTATGCAACCCCCTTTAAAAGGCTGGGAAATGTATGTTTGGAAGGAGTTTCATAAAAAATTAAACAAGTGAAAAATGGGTTAGGCTCCCCCACTGCCCACCTGCTGTATCATGATAATTATCAACTTCTCCAGTAGCTGCTATCTGCATCTTTAACAATGTGGTTATTAAATGCATTTAATGCATGCATTTAAGTCACATCTAGTTTGGCCCTTACATCAAAATTAACATGTTTAAAAATAGGCTGCAGATTCACTAATCAGAAGAACATTCACCAAAAAAATTATCAACATGCTATAATCTGCATAGAGACTACAAGATGCGCTTAAAATACCCAACAAAATCAATGTTAATGTTATATTTTCTCTTTATAGCCTTTTGCTTATTTTTCTCAAATTCTGTCAATTGAGTTTTATTTTTATGTTTTCGTTGTACTACAAAATCTTTCTACTTTATATATATTTTTGCATTGTTTCTGTCACATTAGCCTAAGAAAATGAGATCTCTCACTAGTCTTCCAGCACTTCCTTTCCCTTGCTCTTATTTGCCATATCCTTTCTCTTGCTTCATCTCCTGCATCCTCTCTCCCCTACCCTTCTGTCACCCAGTTTCCAATCATCTATCCTAGGTCAGAAGCAATTACAGTATCCCACTGGTGCTGCTTTCCATTTGTAACATGTGGTATGTCTCAGCAGCAGTGAGTACTTCCACAGTCTGATACAGCTGAGAGGAAGAAGGCTTGCAGCCAAAAAGGGATTGAAGAGCAGCTGCTGCCTGTGGTTAGCCACACAGAGAAGAGCTATGATCAACCGTGCTGCAGACCTGCTGGAATTAGAAGTGATAGACAGAAGCAGGAAAAGGAAGGGATGTCTGGAAACAATCAGGGATTTAGCATCTTCAGAACTATGGACTGTATCAGAAAAAAGTTTTAATGCCCTGAAGTGTGTACATGAAGTGAGTGGTAATTTATGGTGTATTCTAGCAGACTTTTGAAGAAGAGACTCAATTCTTTGTTACATTAGGTCAGAATAGTCCTAGAGAATAATGTATTTGGATAGGGCTGCTACATCCTTAGGATGTCTGATTTTTGTTTAGTTAAATTAGTAGGATACTCTGTTCAGAAGACTTGAGCTACATTGAACCACTTTTCTGTAAGGACAGAAAGTAATTTAAATAGGTAAAAACCTGACATACCACTGGGGCCCACAAAGGTTACTTTCTGATTGGTCAACTAGTTCTATAGTATACCGTATTTTTCGCTCTATAAGATGCACCTGACCAAAAGACACACCTAGTTTTTAGAGGAGAGATCCATGGAAACTTTCCTGATAATCACAGGCACATTCCCCATCACTTCCCCATGGGCTTCATTAAAAGACGGGCTGCCATTTGAAAACACACACCGACCTGTGATTAACAGCTCTCACCTGCGCCGGAGGAGGGGGCGGAGCAGGGAGCGCCGAGCGCGTGCCGGCCAGGTGTGGTGCAGCCAGGCTGGAAGTGTGCCGGCAGTGGTCTTCCTGGCGGTGGCGGCGGCAGGTCTTCCTGGGTGGTGGGGGTGAGCAGTCCGTCTCTCCGTGTGGCCGGCGGGTTAAAGCCCGCAGCTCCTCCTCCTCCGCGGCAGGTCTTCCCGGGTGGTGGAGGTGAGCAGTCCGTCTCTCCGTGCAGCCGGTGGGTTAAAGCCCGCAGCTCCTCCTCCTCCGCGGCAGGTCTTCCCAGGCGGTGGGGGTGAGCAGTCCATCTCTCTGTGCAGCCGGTGGGTTAAAGCCCACGGCTCCTCCTCCTCCGCATCACTCCCCCTGAGCGGCACAGCTCTCACCTGTGCCGGCCAGGTGGTGCCACGTGGTGCAGGCGGGCCGGAAGCATGCCGGGCATCGGGCACACACACATTCGCTCTCTAAGACGCACAGACATTTCCCCTTACTTTTGAGGGGGAAAAAAGTGCATCTTATATAGTGAAAAATACGGTAATTTTTCATGTTCATTCTCTCCCACTGTTCCATAGCATCCTATCTCCTTTTTCTCCTCTTGTCATTTTATTTTCTCTTACAAGGTAATACACCTTTTATCATAAAATAGGTTTTTCCACTTGGCTTGATTGTCCTCATAGGGATGACAGGATAATTTGAACTAAACTTGTTATCCTGCCAATATGTTCAAAATATTAAAACTATGAATCTTGAATTCACCTGATCAAGAGATCTGTAGATATACTTAAGCCTCCTCTAGGTATGTCATCACAACTCACTAATGTGAGATGAGAAAATGCAAATAAAGACATTTTTGGGACATGGGTATAGTGACTAAAAGTGATTTGAACACGTGAACTTAGGATAATTTGAACTAAACTTGTTATCCTGCCAATATGTTCAAAATATTAAAACTATGAATCTTGAATTCACCTGATCAAGAGATCTGTAGATATACTTAAGCCTCCTCTAGGTATGTCATCACAACTCACTAATGTGAGATGAGAAAATGCAAATAAAGACATTTTTGGGACATGGGTATAGTGACTAAAAGTGATTTGAACACGTGAACTTACAATGCTGGATATTGTCTACACTGGCCCACATTTGCTGTATCCCAAGGTCTCAGACACAGTTATTTACCAGCCCTACAACCCGAGATCTCCTTTAAATGGAGGTATGGGGGATTGAACTTGGGAACTTCTGTATACCAAGCCCTATGGAATGTCTTCAGCGGTATAAAACTGTCTCAGACTAAGTCAGATGAGATACCCTACCAAGAATGGTCCACTCTGACTGGCAACAACTCTTCATCATCAGAGAAAGCCTTCCTTAAAAAAGGTGGTGGTGGAGAGAGTGAGGGAGCTTAAGCCTGTAACATTCTACCTGCAGAACTTTGGGACAAATCTTTTATCAATGAGTCAAGATAAGAAAACAGTTTGTATAAAAAAAAAAGTTGTGTTGCTCATGACTCTTCTGAAGACAGATCATGTGGGTGTTGTGGATATTTTTATCATTTGTAATATTCAAATATTTATAATGCAGCAAAAATTCACTTTTGATCACTGACATAACTTGATCAGATTCTGAATCTTCCCTCTTGAATTTGCTGCACAAATATGAATTTCATCTCTCTGGTCAGTGAAATTGTAAGTGTAGATAGAAAGAAAAGTATTATACTCTGCTAAAGTGTTGAATCTTACTCTATTTTGCTACAACATACATTACTTTTGTTCTGTGTTTTTACTTTTGCACTTTGCTGTACATAACTGAGTAACATAATTAACCACTGGTAGGTACTGTTTATGTTAGTTCTCAAAAGGTTAAGAAGCTGATTATAACTAAAATCAGCTTTGCCTGAGGCTTTGGTGGATCTGTGTAATCAAATTAGACAGGAAGGGCACAGTGTCACCTAACACAAACCACCTACCTCTTTATTCTGACTTTTATCATTGAAAGTTGGAGTTATCTTATTTTCAATATTTGTAAAAGATTAGTTTCTAATAAATTCTTTTTATAACAGCATCAGTCAAGATGATTTTTATAAGTAATACAATGTAAAAAAAGCCCAAGACAAATGGAATAATTTTTTTCACCAAATAGTTTTTCATTCTAAACAAAGTATATGGTATAACTTGTCACATTGAAATAGTGTGTCTGGATTGCTGACACGATGTTCTATAATTTATGGATGTATTTGCTAATATACTCTATACTATTTCTTTTTTTGGTATAGAAAGTAACAAGGAAGGGTCTAAGAATCTAATTTCATGGTATATTTGGGTAGTTCATGGCTTCTTCACCATCCAATAGCTATCAAAGAATCTTACACATGAGGCAGATAATCCACTAGCATTTTAAAGAAACTACACATAAGCCACTTGAGACTGTTACAGTTCTCCCCATCTACAGTGGCACTATGCTCTTTGAAGTCAAATAAAATGGATGCATTTAAGGATGCTTATTACTGTACAGAGGAGAGTTCTAATGTCAGAGGAACATTTCCCACAGTGCTATATCAAAACTATATTTAAATGCACTCATTGCATGTTTAATCTTTGAACTTAAAGGATTACACAGAAAGTGTGTACAAAGAAAAGATGTTAAAAGTCTTAATTATTTTTTTTAAAAACCCTTTAAGGATCATATACCTTCAAAAGTTTTATGCAGAATTCCAAAAACAAGTATCAGCAGCTGTAGCTTTTCTCTTCATCAGCTTGAGATTTAATTTCAGTTTGACTTGTGTATTTTAATGTCTACAGCCTGGCCAGAAAACTAGTAAACACAAACACGAGTCCTGCAACTGCATTTCTTAGAATCAAAATACAAATACTAGCTGGTTTACATTAATCAAAAGTTAATGCTAAGGTTACTGCTACTATCATAGACGCATGTGATTAGCCTGCTTGCTACTGCTTCACACTTCTGTACTGCAGGACATGCAAAAAAAGTTTAAAAGCATTTTTCCAAGTTTAACAAAAGGGAGGCAGACATGATGCTCTGTATATGATGAGTCTCAAATGATTCATACTATGCACATTTTATTCCAGGGAAATGCATTATAATAAGAAAAAGTCCTCAACAATGAAGGAAAACATATATTCAAAGATTATATATCACATGAGTCTATTACATCTATTTATTTCAAACGCACTGACATTCTGTTAATATAATCAACCATTCTGGAAGCATTTTCTGTATTCTTTTAAAAGAAAAAGCATGTTATTTGGACATAAAATACACTTGCCATCCATGGTTTAGATTTAACAGCTATTTCCCTCCTTTGCACATGTGAATTCTTAAGAAACAATATCTTTTTCAACTGAATGTATTGCATTAATTCATTTACACCTATTATAGATCAGTCATCTGAACAGCCAGCAAGTTTCTGTACTTTAAATCTTTATTTATTGCTTCAGACCTCCATTATGTGTGCAAGAAGATTAGGATATAAAGCCCTCCGAATGAAGTAGGAGTGGTCATGACCAATAGGTCAGCACAGAACTGGGCCACTTCTGCCTTCTAAAGTCAGCGATGTGGAACTAAGTGTGGCCAAACAAGTAGCTGGTTGGACTCTGGCCAAGAGGCTCAAAATTGCTGACTGTTGCCACATTCTTTCAATTTTAATAAAAAGACTGGCTTAAATATTTGCAAGATTGCCAGCTGCATTTGCAAACTAAAAAAAGCGTACAAATGAAGCAAAGTCATACCCCTTAACATATGATCACTTATTTTGCTAGTAATTTCTCTTCATTGCGACAAATGGCTGTAAAAGGATTAATGGCACAGTTCCAGAGAACATGCCATATATCTCTACTGAACATATAGACTGTTAAATTGACATGCTTCTAACTTTTTGTTGACATAATTTACGGGACAAATTTTATTTCAAAATTGATCTGCCATTTCAACAAGTTTAAGCATAAAAATTCCCAATCAGAAAATAATAACATAGCACTTTTAAATGCTGCATTAACACCACAGTAAACTACTATTTACCTTCATATTACTGTAAAGAGGATAAAATCCAATCCAATACTACTATACATGAATGACTGCTAAAATGAGAAGTATTAAATATTAAGACCAAAAAACTTCAATTAATTAATTGCTGTAGTTAATCAACTAAATTTAATTGCAGATTAATGAGTGAGGCTGGCCATAAGTAAACACTCTGGGACTTTTGAAAGGCCTGTTCCTATGCAGGTCACATAGATGTGTCAACTTCATCCTCTTTATGCCATATTTGATGAACAATAAGCTTAATGCCTGCTTCACTTTCCAGCCTACACCCACAGCCATCAGACTATGAATTTCTAAGCTATTTTACACTGAAGAAAAGAGTCTTCTTCCTTCAGGCATCTATATAAGGTCCTTTCATTAAGATTTTGAAAAATATAAATGTATTTAACCGATCAATTGAATTGTATAAAATTCAGACAATTAGTTAAAAAAGCAGTAATCTATTGATAGCATTATTCAATATTTCTGTATTTCTATTTTTAATTTAATTAAGATGAAAAACATAGCAACAAGTTATTAGCAGTGATTAAGTGCACTGTAAGATTAGCACAGAGATAATATATATTACCACATCTCTTTCAAAATCAGTTACTTTGGAAAACTTCCATAACAATTTTATGGAGCAAATTTTTGAAATGTTCTGTTTTAAAGTCTTTGTAGGCGAGAACAATACTGTGCCCCAGTGGCATTCAATTCTTTTATCAAATTACTAATTGTTTTAAATCATTTTTTTCAAGGTTTACTGGAATGGACTCTGCTGCAAGTACAAGTTCTTTAGCAATTTATTTAATAAAGGACATTGTCTATCAAAGGCAAACAGATCGTGTCAGTTGAGGACTAGCTTGCAGTTGAATGCTGCCCTGACATTTATCATAGGATGCTTCATTAGAACAGACAGATGAAATTGAAAATATTTAAATCCCAAAAAATTGACCTCAATTTTAATGTATAAAAATCTACCTTCTGTTGCTAGCATCTTGTATTTGAAGCTATATGAATGCTTGAAATAATATTAAATTCAAATAGTATCTTTACTATTTTCTCCCTCAAAACAGAAGAAAGGAAGTAGATGGGTATAACTTAGGGAAGCTGCTAAGATGAGATGTTGGCAGGGTGAAGTGGTAGATTTTAGTAATAGCTGTAAGCTGTAAGTGGTGCTGAGCTTTGAAGTCAGTGTAGCTTTGATGTAGTACTCCTTTAGTTAATCGCAAGATAGTCTCAAAAGAAAAGACTTTCCAAATACTATTCTTAGTGTCACTGCTTGAAAAATCCTTGTATTTTTTTTTCACCACACATCTTCAAATCTAGCCTCAGACTGCTATTTTCTCTTTCATTCTCATGTTATTTTCAAAGGCCTTTAAAATTTAAATTGTAATTAAAACAAAGCCTTGTTTGACTAGCTATGTATTACTTTGCAAAGTGACTTCAGCAGTAGACTACAGTGTTCAAACATATTCAGGAAATATATTGCTGGAACCTCACAAAGTGAAAAGGTGGTGAGGCAGTCATTTTCTCCCTATGTCCCTTCTCTCCCTCTTTTGAAGGGCTCCCTAATCTAAAAGAAAAATGCATCATTAAAAGTAAAATTAAATGTAATACACAGCAAAAAACAACAACAACAGGCCAACACTGAAGCTTTCATTACATGAAAACTATTATAGAAAACCCATGGATACATATGAAATTGACAAGAGTTAAGATTTACTTGAAAGAAAATCAAAGCTATTTACGTATCAGATTTATTTGAAAGCAGGATTCATTTTTTACTGTACACAAATAACATCAGCATTAGACAGCTAAGTGTGGCAGAAACTTAGTGAAGTCTGTGAAATAACACACTTTTTAATAATAAAATTAATGCACTTAATTTTAAATATCAATTAGAAATCAAGCTGCACAATGTAGCAAAAATGGCTTTTGTTAGTCCAGCCCTGGCAGAACAAGAACGTTAAAGTGGTTAAAGTATGATCTTTTATCTGCAGTAAAGGGCTGGTAATCTGTCCACATTTCTACATGAACTCTAAAATGAAGCTGCCATTCACTAAGTTCTATGCTCATCTAAACAGATGGGAATAAAGAACATGGCATGTGACCAGTAAATTATGAGAGAGCAACACCTCAAGGTTAGAGGTCGCTGAAGATTTCAACAAATCTCACCAGATATGGCAACAGATTAAGCAAGGAGACAGATTGCCCTCCAACCTTAACCTGTTAAGACCTTTGAAGTCTTATGGTGACCTCTATTCTGCTCTTTCATATTAGTTGTTAGTTACACTAATTACAGCCTAATAGTATCCTGGTGCCAGACATTTTTTTCCCTAAAGCCATCCAGCGAAAGAATATCAGAAAAATGATGACTGCTCCAGCCAAATTGCAATGTGCACATCATAAGCACTTACTCCCAATTTACCACAGACTTTGTAAATTTCTATCGGCAACAATGGGAAAGATATCAATAGCACTATGTAGCTTTGTGCAATCTATGTGTATGTCTTACTGCAAGAAAATCCATATATGGTAACAAACTGGGCTTTATATGAAAGTTCAGATTATTTGGACAAACAGTTAAGAACCCATGCATTTTCCTAAGTACAAGGTAAGTTAAAATTTAATAAACTAAAACTTGTTCTTTGCTCTCTCAATAAACCACTCATAGCATTTCAAACAACTCTGAGAACATGCAATGGCGTAATTCTTATCACATTAATCTATTAAACCACAATGGTTTAAAAACAAAACAAATCCAGAACCTGTCACTACCATGAATATTTGTGTTTATGACTGGGGTTGATAGTTATTTTGTTGTATATTGTTTTCATTGTCATTGCTTGTTTTGTTTTCATGTGTTTTGTAAATCTGCCCAGAGAGTCATCCTGTACTATTGGTTAATGCAGATTATAAATTCAATTATAAATAAATAATAAATGAATTTTACAAAATCAGGTTTATTGATTTTGTGGTGCCCAGTTTTGTATTTGTGTAAAGTCACTCGTATAAAGGGATTCCCTACCTCTATTTCCCACTGTACTCACCTGTCCCTCAAAAGTTTCTCCTGGGAGTCTGGAAGTACCCCAGAAATAGCTTAGGATGCAAGGTAGATCACCACAATGAGAGGGAGCATCACTCCAAAACAGATGCAGGCAGTACAAGTACTAGTTTCACTGCAGTTCCAATTCCTAATCTTTCTTTTAAAATTCCTTGGCCTTCAGGAAGGCAATTTTAAGGGCTGCAAGATACACAAATGGCTGTCTAGGCTCATGCTGTTGATTTAAAGGAGTATGCTGAGTCCTGATTATTAGAATGAAAGTCATAGGAGTTCCATCATGAAAGTTGAGCTACATGCTAACTTTCAGTACAAACTAGGATCTCTTCCTCTTCTCAAGCTTATCCTCAAAACAATGACAAACAATGTTTTTCGGCGCCAGGCTAAGACCTTTTTATTTAAGCAACATTTTAAATGCTAAATATAATTGAATTTTATCTGGCCAGGGCGGCTTATTTTATAATGTGTGTTTTAATTAAGATTATTTTATATGGATTTTAACTTGTTTTATCTATGTTGTAAGCCGCCCCGAGGCTTCGGCGAATGGGGCGGCATAAAAATGTTTTAATAAATAAATAAATAAATAAATAAATTATATATTTTATTGCATTTTAAAATCTGTTTTATGGAGTGGTGTAAATCACCCAAAGAGATTCAGCTGAGAGGAAGTACAGAAATGAAGTAAGTAGTATAAATAATAAGTACCAATAATCCTGTGGGCTAAGAACTCGGTTGGGCTAAGAGTCTGTGAATCTAGAATCCAGCCTTGATTTCCAGTCCCACGCTCTTAACTACTATAGTATACTGGCTCTCAACTCCATTTGGCCAAAAGAACCACCCACCAACAGCATCGCAGTCTTGGCTGAATTGAGCTTCAGTTTCTTAGCCCTCATCCAGTCCTGTCACAGCCAGGCACTATTTTAGCACATCTACTGCCTCACTTAAAAAGATGAAAAGGAGAAACAGTTCTGTATAATACACTCTAAAACTCTGGATGGCAGGTCTCAACAGTTTATTTAGTTTCATAGCATGGGGGACAAGACTAACCCCTGAAGAACCACACACTGGAGAGTCCAAGAGGCAGTGCAATGTCCCCCAAGCATCACCTTATGGAGCAATCCATTGAAGTAGGAGTGGAAGCACTGTATCACAGAGTCCATCCCTCCCAGCTCAGACAGTTGCCCCAGAAGGTCAGCGTAGCTGATGGTATCAAAAGTCACTGAGAGTCCAATAATACTAACAGAGTCACACTACCCTTGTCTCTCTCCTAGAATAGGCTGTCATACAGGGTGCACAAAGCTGTTTCCTTGCCAAACCAAGCCTGAACCCCATGTGAAATGGATCCAGATAATTACTCCATTCCAAGAGTGCCTGGAGCTGGTTGGCCACAACCTGCTCGAGAACCTTGTCCAGGAAAGGGATGTTTGCCACCAGTCTAAAATTAGTGAATTCTTCTGGATCCAGAAGGAGTGTTCTCACCACTTCCTCTTTCAGGTGGCAAAAAGTGGCATTAATCACCTCACTAGCCCAGCCAGCAGTCCCTTCCCTGCTAGCTTATATTAATTAAGAAGAGCAAGGATTCAGTTGGGATGTGGTTATTGAACTTGTACAAATACCCTGACAACACTGTTGAGCTGTACCAACAAAAACTTCAGGTATCTCACCTGATTCCACTGCAATAACATTGAAGTCTCACTCTTGTACGATGCAAAAGATTTTATCCTGGACATACCTAGCAATTGTACATTGCAGAGGAGTCACGATGGCTCTAAGATGTCCTTGGGGCCAGCATGTAGTAGGCCCTGGACAATCCTAGAGAGCTCTGCTTGGCAGCAAAGAGAAGACTGAATGTAATTGAATTTCTTTGGCTCCCTAACTACCTCCAAATATATTTGACTACAGGTGTAAACCAGGGTTCCATAGGAGTTTTCCTCCATTTGCACTCAAACTGTCTCCTGATACATTTTATTACTCTCAGTTCTGGGTTATATCATGGAATTGTACAAGCTCTACTACAGAGAAGACAAACAGGAGCAATCATGTTAACTGTCCAGGTCATCTCTGTATCCCAGAGATCAAACAGGGGTTTGAAACAAGCACCTAGAGAATCCCCCAGAGTCCTCTGGAAACCATCCAGATCCACCAGGGCCTGGGGATGGAGGATCTTAATACATCCCCACCTCTGCAGAGGGGAAAAACCACAATTAGTCCAAATCTCAGCAGGCAGTGATCTGACCATGACAAAGGGACCTATCCAAAGTCACCCCCTTTCAGGTCACTATCCCCATGACTGGCTGAAAACAAAACAATCTAGAGTGTGCTCTGCTACTTATGTTGAGTCAACAGTGTGTTGGAAGAGTTCTGTCGTTGTCATGGAGTCTATGAAATTCTGAGCCCCTCCAACTCAGCAAGTATGTTACCATCCTCCAGGACCAGCATTTGCAGCCAAGGCCACTCTGTCAGCTCAAGTATTTAGTCATGGGGTAGATGGTACACTGGCCCCCTTTGGAATTAGCCCCTTTGGGGTTGCCACCATTCTGCTTCAGGCTGGCAAATATAGTCCTGTTGTGTCTCCACATAGCAGGCCGTCTGGCATGCAGGCAGGCCTTGGAGGAGTTGTCCTCCCCCTTGCAGAACTGGAGCCTCTAGAATTTCTCTCTAAGCCAGATGGGAGAGAAGTCTGGCAAGTTGGTATAGCCAGCACTCCCGTCCTTTCTGAGAGAGGCCAGGCTTGCTTTTCAAGGCAATAAACTATCATTGTGTTACTATAACTTTTAAGCTGCTGTTGTTATTTCAATGTTGCTTTTATTTGCTCCTGTTATTTTTAATTGATTGCTTTATCTGATCTATATATTAATCTGCTGTTGTGAGCTTTCTGTGTAACTCTGCTTTCCTATGACCTTATCATGTTTGTTTGTTTGTTTATTTAGGAAGCTTCTATGCCGCCCCACTTGCCGAAGCCTCGAGGCTCTGGGGAGCTCATTCCATAGATTGGGCGCCACCGCAGAGAAAGCCCTCCTCCAAGTACTTACCCTCCTAATATCCTTCACGGAGGGTTCCCGGAGAAGGGCCTCTCCCGCTGATCTCAAGGGGCTTAGTCAATGTTGTCTTATTGACTATTGTAAACTGCCTTAGAAGAATTATCTATGCAGTTTAAAATGCTTAACATAATTAATTCCATTATAATAATTGAGAATCCTTTCAATCTACTCTGAAGTAGCATTTACTCCTCCTGAAAAGGTAATGGCCACTATTTTCTGATCCACCAAGAATGGGTTTTCAATTGTCAAAAAAAGGAGTGAACATTAAGAAACCCACCCTCTTCTCCAAAAGGATAAGTAATTACTGAATACCTAGACCCAATTTGCCTGAAGCTTGTCCATATGATATGACATTTTTAGCACAATGGTTAATCTGATTTGCTAATCTTGGCATTCCATGAAATAACAATTCTTATATCTCTAACTGTGAAAGGTCTATGGAAGAGTGTAATGTGTATTCATCAATCTAGA